CTATACAACTCTCTAAAAAGGAATATCCCAAATGCTTGGGAACTTTATTGCAATTTGATGTGGATTGTGAAATGCCGTTTTTTGCTTACTGAGCAGAAAATCATGGATTTAACCCCAAGCTCTTCCACAGCACAATAAATTGCCGTCGTAATTTTTATATTTAAGACTAACCATCAACGTCGGATACTATTTGCATGATCGCGTATTTCAGTCGTTCGTTACATACCAAGCGAAAACAGTCATGTTTTGTCGCGGAGCGTTATGGTTCTGAGATGCTCGATGACTCTGGAGGGATCGTTTTTGCTTACTGAGCAAAAAATCATGGGTTTAATCCCGAGCTCTCCATCATGACTCTTAAAATGCATGATCACTATAAAATGAAATTTTTTTTTTCGATGGTCGAGAGATTATATGAGCAACACATCAACAATATATACTTTTGGTTGCATCGCCAACTTGAGGCGAATCCCAACCCAATACCCTACCCAACCCTCCAACTCCGTAGCGTAGGGTGTCGTAGGCCTCTCGTTAAGCAAGTACTGCATCAACATCTCGTTCCCTATCCCTAGTTATGGTTAAGATGGGCGTGGTCGAGAATAGCGACAGTCATGCTTCTGGTATTCTTATTTAGATTGGAATCAATGTTTACTCCCCAGCATTATTCCTGAAAGTAGTCTGACTGGAAATTTCAAAATAGTCGTGAGTGTTGCGAGTATCCAATCTACGAAGTATATCATAACATTGCTAACGCTAACGCAGAGCAAATTCACGGCAAATAGTGAAAAAAAAATACACGAATTTAAAATTTTATCTATCAGGATTCCCAACAAACAATTGAGAGCTCTTATAAACACCTGAGTTGATCAAACGTTGATTAAACACCTGAGTTGAACAAGAATGTAGTTGTATTGCCATTTGATTAAAAGTTTTAAAAGCTGTTGGAGCACTCTTACATGATTGTTTACGTTCGGTTTAACTATATGCTTTATAAGACCTACGATAACTTTTATAGCACCTTTGTTAAACTGATTGACAAGAGCTATATATAACGTGAAATAAACGCATCAAAACAAACCATTGGAAGCTCTTACAAAACACCTGAGTTGATCAAAAATTAAATAATAGCTTCCAGAGTTGTACAAGAATGTAGTTGTATTGCCATTTGGTTGAAAGCTTCAAAAGCTGCTTGGAGCACTCTTAAATGATTGTTTACGTTCGACCAACCACCAACCACAATTTTGTTGCTAAAAATAGCACAAGTAATAGGCACGTTTATATGACCATAAGGCAATGATTATTCGACTGCAAGAGAAGTCACTCAAGATGAGCTTCATATACTTCTCTCATATGATCAAAATATGTATTCAAGAATAGAGCACGTGGAAACAGAAGCGGCTGGCAATCCGGGATCATGAGTTCGAATCTTGCTTCGAGAAACCCTCGGTGGAGTAGAGGTAAATTATATATAGGTGTTATTAATAAATGCAAACATTAATTTTTAAGACATATATCAAATAATCAACGATTTTATTTCTAGATAAATTCTCTCAATTAATGATTAGAGAGATTAATTAATTGAAAGAATATCAATCAAAGATTCAACAGATGATTGTTACTACTTCCTCCATGATCACAGAATGTGAATTATGGCATAATTGCATATTTTTTCAATGTGCACAAATAAATTAAATTAATAAAAACTGTACAAGCAATTATTTTGGCGTACCACGACAATTGTTAAACTAATTTTAATCTGTGAATATTGTGAGTACTTACACAACGGTTATTAAGGAGTCATTAAAAAGTGCTATAAACGCTTTTCACCGCTTGCTGTATAGTGATTATTTAGGAGTCATAAAAGAGTGTAACAAACGCCTCTCAGGTTCAATCTCTAATACATTTCGAAGCAGCTGTTAGGAGGTGTCTACAAACGTTGTATTAGAGCTTTCACCAAAACAATAAAGCTTGAGTTTAAATATGTATCTATAAACGTTGTATAAAAGTTGCTTCTATCCGGTTGTTAAGGAGTCATTGAAAAGTGCTATAAACGGCTTGCTGTACAATGATTATTTAGGAGTCATAAAAGAATGCAACAAACGCCTCTCAGGTTTACTCTCTACTAAATTTCAAAGCAGCTGTCAAGAAGTGTCTACAAACGTTGTATAAGAGCTTTCACAAAAATAATAAAGCTTGAGTTTAAATATGTATCTATAAACGTTGTATAAAAGTTGCTTCTACTCCTATACCGCGTATACATATAATGCTTTAGTTGAACAGGTTCTCCAAACCAGTGTAAACAAGAGTTTTACAGAAGTTGTAATAAACAAATTGTACAGTTATTATTCAGCATGCAGTTGAATAAAATCACAATGGAAGCGTTTCTTCAACAAGAAATGGATTTTGGGTAAACGTTTTACTGAATACGTTAGACAACACCTTTTTGTTGCAGTTGTATAGGTTCTCCAAACCAGTGTAAACAAGGGTTTTATAAAAGTTGTGGTGAACACATTGTGCAATTATTATTCAACATGCAGCTGAACAAATCTCTTATGCATGACGAACCAGAGCAAACATAATCCACTACTGTTTTAACAGTTAATTGTTAAAACAATAACGAGTTCTGCCCGCTCTAATTCGTGATGCATAAGAGATACAGATTTGAGTTACTGGCAATAGTTGTAGCAAATAACAAAACCTACAAAAGCTCCATACATCATTTTGCGGAATTCTGTTGATGAAAAAAGTTAGGGGCAAATGAATGTAAATGAATGTAAATGATTTTCCATGCCTGATGACGTCTGAGACAAAATTGTAGGAAACTGGATTTACTTTTCAAAACAGTATACACTGATAAAAAAAAACACAATTTTTGCCCAAAAAACGGCAAAACAATACGGTTAAAGACTATCTCATCATATATGCAAAAATTGACCAAAATTGTAAAACATCATGTTTGTAACATGTTTGAACCCTTTTTTCAAGCAATATTTTAGTAATTTGTGTATGAGAATCGATTTTCCGGACTAAAGAAATGTTTTCTGCATAAGAAGCAATCAAAAATATTTGTGAAAAACAAATTCAAACATTTCACTAAAAGTTTTAAATTATGTTCCACGAGTTTGGTAAATTTAATAGTTTCCTACTATTATGCCCAGTTTAACTCGCGGCATAATCAAGTAATAGATGCGGTGTCCTCATTTGTTTGTCCCAGAGGGCAGAGGAGAATCGCAGAACCTTTGGGGAATTTCTTTTCCAAAAAGCGGTGTCCAAACCTGTGCTTCCCAAGTTGGGCAGGAGAGGATCGCAATCCGAAGAGTATCTGTCTTTATTAATGAACTACTTGGGTTTATACACGGAATTATTGTCATAATACATTTAACAAATTGTTGCATTGGTATCCAGCTTTCCATGCATATGGATGGCGAACGCAAATGCGCGGATCATGTTCAGTGCGCAAAACAGTCAGGTTCATTGAGTCATTTTGATATGAATATGAACTGCCATCTGCCTCATCATTCACTGCCTCGTGAGAGTTTGAATGATTGAGAGGTAAACGAGTCACTGATAGCCGAGCACTCAGTCAGTAGCTCAGTCAACACGTTTATTCTGTCGTGATGGTACCCAATATTTGTTTTGAATGACTGAGCGTACATTTCCTATGGAAAAATAACTCAATTGGGTTCTTTAAGGGTATTGAGGTAAATTCATATTCGTAATTCGCATTAAAAATGGAACCCAAACCCCAAATTTCATCAATTTTGGTTCACTGGAACTATTTTAAATAAGAACGATTACATTTGCAAAAATCACCTTATTAGCGCCCCTCGGTGTCACTTTGTATGGGAGCGAGCTGTCAGTTTGTCAGTTTAGTGTCAAACAGTGAAGTTATTATTTTGCTTTAAATCTTGATTTAAAAATCGAGATGAAAGTAAGTTTGTTCGAAAAAAATATCGCTGTGCTCAGACAACGAAGCTCTTTCAGATGATTTATAAAAACCGATATATTTTTCAAAATTAAAGAACCCAATTACATGCTGTGTGAGCGAAAGCAAGCGGTGTGCGTCGCCTGCTCGTGAGTGACTGAATGTTTTTGTTGGCTCTTTCATTGCCTCGTCCTTTACCGTTTGGTACAGAGCAATGGATTGAATAGTGCAATGCTTTCACAGTCAGCCTAGGCAGTCAATAATTTTACACTCTGATCATGTTACATCTTTTAATATGCTAATAGCCTAGCAAGCACATTGACACCAATGAAACACACATAGAATTGTCACACCGATTGTGATCGGATTCGAAACGTTTGAAGATGTTTTGAATACAGTTACTTATGAGTTTTCTCACTTCGATCCCAAAAAGCACCTGTGTTGCTTATGTCATTTATACAGCCGCTAGGTGCTGTAAGGTTTGTTTACGTTTCATGAAGCACCAGCTTTGGTCCTCCTTCCTCTTGTAGCGTTTTTTTCTGCATGGCTGGTCATCCTAAAATACTACGTCGTTTATGCATCTTCCCTTATCATATATTCGTTGACTGTTAATTCCACCGCTATACAATCCCCCTCATTATGCGCCGCGAAGTGAGGTGACTTGCTGTCACTAGTGAGGTGACTCTCCGTGCAAATCAAATGGAGAGTCACCCCACTCGCGGTGACTATTTGTCACCTCATTCGCGGCGCAGAATAAGGAGGAATATATCAAGAGTGAATTTTCAAATAGCCATATCTGCTTTTGTAAACAAATATTCAAACGTCAATTTTTCGAAACCCTTAACTCGCCCATGCAAACTAACACCACCAGGTAGGCTAATCATATATGCAATACGATCTGTCTGATTGTCTAAGCTTTCACTATGTATGGTTGGGATTTGTATGGGGTGGTATGATACCAAAATATTCGAAAGAAATTATCGCACTGTTCTAAGTTAAAATCAGTTTATTCGCAGACCTCCATCTCAGATCAGCACTTACACTACATAATTCAAATAAATACATCTCTCCCAACCATGCTTCACTAGCCTAACTCATCCCATCCGGATCCTTTTTACATCTTCACTTCTCTCGCTATCACCAAACTCAACCTCGTAAAGCAATTGCTGAATCCTCAGTTTCAAAAGAGCGTTCTTCTGTGTCGACAGCCTTTTCAATACCGGCGCACAGCTGAGCAGAAACCGCTCGTCGGGATCGGTAATGGAGACCACTTGACTAGAGTCCACCACTTTCTCACTAGGCTCAACCAGCGGAACAGTAATGGTATTACCAACAACCTCTTCCTCCTCCACCACCTCCTCCTCTTCCTCCTGAGTCAGTTCCAGCGCGTGATCGTCTTGAATCATAGAGCCAGTAGTAGTTTGATCAACTTCTGTTATATTGACCACTTCTTGTTTCGCAGCAGCGATTGAGTACGTTGTTGTCGATCCTTCCTCAACTTCCTCGTAGATGTACTCGGTATTGTTGTCGTCGAACTGCTCTTCCACACCTTCTTCACACGTGAGATATTCTGTCTGGTCTGTCGTAACGTAATCTGGAAAGTGAATGGCTCCACTAGCCTCTGAAACCAGCGTCTCCTTGTCACTGGCAGAGTCCGTTTCCGAAATTCTACAACAAATACCCATGAAAGAACGACTGAATCAAAAGCAAATTCAAGTTCGTCATACCCATAGAGCTCAACATGATTTCGCAGAAAGTTCATCTGTTCGTAGTAAACCCACTTCTTCCGCTTCATGCCCGGCATTGTGGAGGCCAGTATCTCCTGGCGAAAGTATTTGATGAAGGTGTCCCTCAAGCTTTTCCATCGTTTTTTGCAATCTTCAACTGAAATAAAATGATTTAAAAGTTTAATCCAGTTGGGAAGCGCGCAATTTTTCAAAAAAGCGACAATCTTAGCGCAAAGCTTAGCTTCCGGTCAAACAATAATTTGTTGCAAAGCGTCGCTCCACGCGCAGCGATAGGCAGCAGTCGATTAAATATTACCTTTCACACCGAGCGTATCGGCAATGTTCATCCATGCATTGTCCGTTGCACCTGGCTTCCGATAGGCTTTTAGGGATTTGTCGTATAGAACCGGATGAAGTTTAACCTGATGAATCAGGTATTCCTCCTGGACACATTTGGTCAGTAACGATTGCCGTCGACGCTGCTGCTGCTGCTGTTGTTGCAGCAGTTGCTGTTCTTTCTTAATTGTTATGAGATCCATGGGTTACCTTAACCGAGCAAAAAATCAATGTTTTAGCAAACAATTGTAGCATTTATGCCGTAAACCATAGCAAATAATATTTTAAAATAAACATCGTAATATTTTCAAATATATCACCTTAAAGCGCCGAAGCAAAACTGCGCACTGATGCTTCGCTTGACGTCCGAAAAATTGACGGCTTGCTGCGCTTCTGTCAAGGCAAAGACCATACAATATGCGTGCCCCGTTGGAAAAAAAGACGGAATGTTACGGTCAGGTGACGATAGAAAAGCAGCGCGGAAATCCTATTGGAAAATAGGAGCGCGCGCGAAATGGCACAGCAAGTGAACAACCACGTGGGCTGTTGAAACGTTATGCTACCGGGTATGCCGTCCTCGAAACGTGAAGCATTAAAAAACACGTAAAGTGATTTGAAATATACATGCAGTTTATAACCGTCAACAATAAGACGAGGTCAGAAGCAGACTGCGGTAGGTCTTGCACCGTAACGCACCACGAATACTAGCGTGTGCAGCAGGGATGGTAAACACGTTGTATTTTACTTTTAGTCTTACCCGATTTTGTAGTAATACGGATAAGTAAATGAAATCTACGGAATGTGTGTATTTTAGTACGCAATTACGGACGTCTTACCAAATTGTCACCCCCACGTATCACTTTCAAAAGTTATGAGACATAAATGGAATTAAACACAAACAAATCTGACATCAGTTGGTGCGACCGAGGGTGCGACCCGTACATTATTACAAAGAATTCCTAATAAAATTGATATGGTTATTTTGCGTCGTTCCGGGAATCATGGATGGCCCGGTATGGGGGATAGGTTGAGCACCACTGCTCTATGGCAAGTGGTTGAAGCATCTGCGAAATAGGCATTTTCGAGGGAAACTGGGACTACTCATTAAATTATTAAAATTTTACACATTTATGAATAATTACAACTACAAAAATAAGTAGTAAAAATTTATTTGTTAGTAACAAATACTCATAAATGGGTATTTTTTTTTTACTTATTTAATTGGTAGTCCCAGTCTCCCACGAAAATGCTTACCTTGTAGTCAATATCGAGTGTTTTATCACAGACAAACAGACGTAACTCTTCATTGTGTATCTTCGTTCACGCATTTAACGGTTGATTTGAATATAATCAGTTCCGCGAACTACTCGCCGCAGCGCTGGGATCGGATCACTTTGACGTTTCTATACATTCTATAGAACTTTTATGCAATATTGTTTGCGAGTTAGCGAGCAAGCTTGTTTTCCGCGAGAAGCCCGAGAGATGTCGTTACTGAGGTCCTATGCTTTGAGATACTATGTTATCAAGAAAAAAAATTCAAGGAGTTACGTCTGTTTGTCTGTGGTTTTATAGTCATTATTGGGTATTTTACGGTTACAATGTATATCTTCACCGATGGCATTTAAAGCTTGGTCCAGCTAAAAATTAGATGCAGAATTTATTTTGAAGCTGCTGTGTAGGTTCCAAACGTGCCAAACGTCAAATTAAATAGTTTTTAATTATTTTAGAGATTGATAATCTTATGGCAAGTTTAAGCAACTGTATTGTAGGCAACACTGTATTCTGCAGTGTGACATAGTAGCCATGATTTTTGTCCTCTATTCTACGCGCCATAAACACCAATGTTGCCTGCTGAACAGTTGAATGAGCATAATCATAAGACATCAGTGACTTGGATCATTAATAACTTTTGATCCGTGCATTTGATTGAAAAGTGGGTTTGAACAAAGTTGTAGCTGAGAAAATTTGCTATAGTCACTGCTATTATTATCTGAAGCACAGTGATGTGGTGAATTGTTAGATGGATATGAACAAAAACATAAGTTTTCCCATAGTAATTCCCACATAAACTTGAAATGGTTTGTGCCAAGTCAGTTTCTTGCTAAAGTAGTTCAAATTTTGGGAGGCTAAGCAGGACCCAATTTGGAATTGTTTGAGCACTGTGGAGCGAAAATTTCAAATTTTGCATCAGTCTACTGTCCATAGTTAAATTGCATCACTTTCAAAACAGCTGTAACATTTTTCCATTTAGGTTAATATTAATGAAATTTTGGATGAGATGGACTCAGCGTGCATTGTTTACACTACGTGAGTCTCATTGTGATATTTCTAGAAATGGAGTCGAAGGAACAGCGCGCCGGCGCCGGTGGTGTAGTGGTAAGCGTGACTGCTTTCTCACCCCAATGGGTAATGGGTTCAATTCCAGCCGAGATCGATGGGATTTTTCTGAGGCATACAAATCTCTGGTCACGTCTTCCTTCGGAAGGGAAGTAAAGTCGTTGGTCCCGGCCCATGTGTGTTGAATGGGTACGATATCCTACGCAGGTTTGAAAGCTGTCTTCCTGTACATTCGATTGCCGCCAATGGATGGCAATCGATGTCCGTCGATGATTGGCACTAGATAGTGGAACAGACCAACTTTAAATAAAGGAATGAACTACAACGGTAAATGTTCATGTCTATATGAATGAGTGCCTGAAGAAACGACTGCTTCCATTTCTCAAATCGCACAACATTCCTACAATTTTTTGGCCGGATCTAGCCTCTTATCACTACTCCAAGGACGCTCTGGAGTGGTACAAGACGAATGGGATCAATTTCGAGCCGAAGGAGGACAATCCCTCAACACACACCGGAGTTGCGGCCGATCGAAAGAATGAAGCACGAACTATGTAAACATCCTAAAGTTGTCACTATAGAGCAGGAAATGTTGAAATCATGGTTGAAAGAAGAAAAAACTCTCGATTCAACCGTTGTACCAAACCTTATGGGTGGAATTAAGTGAAGAAATAGAGTGAAATAAAGATATGTAAACCAAGTTGATATATAGCATAGACAAACAGACATAACACATTGAATATTTCTCACTGTAAAACGTCGTCGCTAAAACATTACCGCCATCTGTTGAGTACACTATGGTGGGTAGTACGCAGAACATATGGCGGTAGTGTGTAAACGTCAAACGCAAGGGAATTGACTATGCCCGCCACAGGTGGCGGTATTTCCAACTACGATACTTTTAAATTTACCGTTAAATGCTTGTTCGATGAACAACTTGCGAGAGTTATGTCTGTTTGTCTGTGTATATAGTATTACATACCCAGAAAATTTCATGACAATCGGTTGAGAGACTTATTTTTGGCGCGTTCTTCTAAGTGATGCAATTTCACTGTGGACACCCTTTAGTTCATTTTCGCCCAAAAATTCGCCCGGAACCGTAATATCTATAACAGGGTATCTGAAGCAGTTGCCTCAACACCCCAGATTTTCGTCACAAAGAAGACGATGGATTAGAAGGTGTACAAGCAGAGTGTCTAAAAAAACGCATTCTGCCATTTATTAAGAAACACAAAGGGTTGATTTGACAAGCTGTGATTACGGAGTGGATTTTATTGAAAAAGACATTATTCCACGTAATAGCCTCCAATTCTGTTCTGACTAATCTAAAAATTCAAGTAGAAGTAGAAGAATAGCAAGGTTACTTGGAATTATGCCAGTTTGCAAGATTTTGGTACTAACTGGACGCCGAGGCATTCTGAGGTTGACCAGCACAGTGTGAAAAAAAATAATGGTGGGAATTCATGAAAAATTCGCGACTGTTCATAAAAACCAATGGAATAATTTTTATTTTTTTAAGCAACAATACGTCAAAGATAGTCTCGTGATAGATCTGATTTCAAGCGTCTAGATTCTAACTGGACCATGCTTAATCTGCTACGTTCTCATTAGTCGATGCTAAAGAGCTTGAATTTATAAAGAGACAGCATCTTATCCATTTGATAGGTCTTCTGCTCGATTGGAATAACTTTTCCTATGACTTTGACAGAAAATCGATTGTTCTAATTTTGAAAAGTCATCGCTTTATAAATTTAGGCTTTTTAGTGGATGCATTTTCCATCAATCTTGTACCCTGCTTTCAGTGCAAAGGACGCGTTGAATCGCAATATTAAGACAATGTATCAAGATTTGACGGACCAGTTTGAATCTAGGTTGAAACAAATGTTGCATCTGAAGCATGTACATATATTCTTCTTATTATTCTTCATCTTTATTTACTATGCTGTCAAGCAAGAGTAGGGATGGCACAGCGAATGAGCTATATTGTGAGCATATATATTTCCTATAGAAATTTCCACATATCTACGTTTATACACCAAACCGGGAAAAATGCAAGATTCTATTACAGATTTGCATGAAAAGTATGCACGCAGTAATTCGACAGACAATTCACCGTAAGATACAAATAATGAAAATTTGTATCGCTGTCCTTTTATAAGCTGACAGTATCCCTTTGATTTTTGTAAAAATCGCTCGAATTTCTTAATAGGAAATTACATCACCAGCCTAAACTGTAACATTATGGTTTCAGGAACACAACAGTTGGTCCTGTGCATCAACTATTTCATGCAATGGCACTGTAGAATCCAAACTATCACCGAGGTCAATAGCCACCTATATACTACCATCGAATTGTCGTGCTCTATAGAAATTGTTATTAATTGAATAAACTAAATCGCATAAACTCAAATAGATTACGGTGTGAACGCACAAGTAGACCACCCCAAACGATGACTGGCGGTACCGGTTCAGCGCTGAATTGACTACTTCCGGTCTGACCTCCAGCGGGGAACCGAATTTATATTTAGTTACACTCACCACTCGTATGAATCAACATAATGGGAAGTAGATATGTTCCTACAACGTACACAAGTGACAACGCGAAGAAAGCCGGAACTGAGACTAACCAGACGAGACGTCGTTCGTTTGCTCGTGACACTGACCATGGACACTTTCTTTTAAATTGGTAAACACGACACAATTTGTTTTGTTTTTTCGAAGAACTAAAAACCGAATGATTCTCATTTATTTTCCTTAAAACTGTGTTCGCTTATTCTCAGCTTGGTTACTTCGCTATGGAATTTTTCGTGCCTGGGATATTGCTTTCCCTCAAAAAACCGATACAGTGAGAAAATAAATACATCCATTGATCGATGGCAGCTTTTTTCCTTTTCGTGGCATCCAAGTGGTTACAAGTGTAGGTAAACAGATTTTTTAAAAGAAGTTTTTCAACACCAATCCCCGTAGTATTGAGTTAGTTTACAGATTGAAGTAGGCCGACTGAATGATTGATGCGCGGCTCATGGAAACGGGGAAGTTCTCTAGTTGGCCGAGTATGCTCTTGCTTTGCCCAAACGAAGAAATCTGAACGAAGCAAGACGGCCCCTGGCTCAATGGAAATTAAATTAGAAAATGAGTTATCATCGGAGTGATGTTGTTTTTTTTTTTGCTTTGTGTGTTTTCTTAACCCTACAAGTTCATAATGTTTATTTTTTATGATTTTACTCCAAACAATTTAGTTTATCGCTAACATTTTATCATTAATATTTCGATTTTATCAGCGTATAAAGCAGTATATTTTTCGTTAATTTTTTATATATTTTTTTCTTACGTAACACTATTTTAAATCTTAATATTCTACCGTTTTTTCTTATTTTCTTCCAAAAATCAACCCTAACTTGATAAAATATAATGTCTCTTTATTCGCTTCAGGAGCATTTTTCTATTCTCATGTAGAAAAGAGGGAAATCAAAACCAATTGGAAACGGGATAGTGAAAGATTAAGCTTAAGATAGGTGGAGAGCTCACTAATTTCTGATAGTGTTAACTAAAGTGTAGGTCCTTTTTCGGGAAGGAAAAAATTACTGGTGGAAGGAATTACTTCGTAGTGTTTGTTTTCGGTATCTATAGCGTTTTTATTTCGGCACAAAGCTGCTCTTCCTTCCACTAACAGTCCGGTGCCGCTAGTAGAAACCCCTCCTTCGAATTCCCTTAGCATCCTAGTATTTATAAAGTTTTTAGTTGACAACTTCGCAATGTAAACTGCACTACACGCGGTCACTACTGTCACCTTAGTTATTCCGGCTCTGCCATGGGTAGTACGTTATTCTGACTAACGTGTTTCACGACAAGAAAAAATAAAATTCTGGCAGCACTGCTTTGATGTTTTTTTTTTCTTCAGAAAACCCAAAACTCATATACCAAGTAAGTGTCAAATAAATGAAATACAATTTTCTATTCGATAATCAGCTTTATTGTTGCTTCCTTCGGTGTTGTTGATGTCAGATCTGTTCGAAATAATTGTTCACTTAAAAAGCCATAATTTAAAAAAAAAACGGTATCCTTAACAACTATTCTGCGATCGCTACTAAACTTAAAAACAGAACGCCCACGTACTACAGTACAGATATTTACAAAAGAATGCTTTTCATGCTTCCATACTATGGCGAGCAACTTTTGAGTGAACGGACAAACTTTTCTAAAACTTTTCCGGAACGAATGTCACCTTAACCGAGCACACGTGTTTCTTTTGGTTTGTTTTTTATTCGGAACGGAACCGACATGAAAGTTCATTGCTCCAAGACTGTCCCATCAAAGTTTGGCCATTCTATCAGCCAGCCAAGAATAGCTGCTTCTACGAAAAGCTCCCAAAAAATACAGTACTTTTACAGCAAGATGTGATTTTTGAACCTAGTCCTAACAATACTATAGCGATATAATTAAAAAAATAAATCTATTGACTATTCAACAGTATGCTCTTCAGTGGATGTTTGTTTGATCATTATAGTTTTGTTGTTGTCTCTCTCTCTATAATTGATCATTATCCAATTTGATTTGATTTTAAACTACAGAATTCGGCTCGAGTAGAATTCATTGCCTCTTATGCTACTGTTGTTTGCTTATTTTTAAAATACCTACAATGTGAACTGTTTTGATCTTATTATTTCTTACGACGCACGACTTTCGAACGTATTCGGATCAAAATGAAAATCCACAGTGACAAATTGAGAGAAAAAATGGCAGCAGGGTGTTCTTGCTTATTCAATTCATAGCACTATATAACCAAAGATCCATAAATAAAGCTACTATCGACGCTTCCACGGCGGCACACGTTACGTCACGCTCTTTGAATGGGATTAAGCACGAACTAGGAATGCAAGTGCGGCAGCCAACACCAAACCGAGAGTAACCTGCACCGATGATGCACCGTTGCAGTTGTCTTCCAAGCAGGCACACACCTCCTGACGGCCACCGAATCCAGAACGTTGGTAACATTTGCCCTACAATTGAAGAATTTATGTTTACCGCATGTCCATATCAAAACTACCTACTGAAGCGAGGTGAATACCAACCTTGTAGGATGATTCGTCCCAACCGCAACCACGGATCACTCTGGTGTCCGGAGGAACTGTAATGGAAAACGTTCCGGGTTAACGCTATTTTCGCTCAAATTTAGAATGGCAAATGAACTAGATAGTTACGGTTATTGACGGCGAATTCGATCGATTGGATAATCTTCCGGCAGAAGGTGTACTTGTTGCCATCCTTGTAGGTGTCACAGTCGATCTGCATTTCCGTCGGTGGCGTATCGTACGCGCACATCGAATCATCCGCACTGTTGCACACGAAGCATCGGATTGCATCACCTGTTGAGATTGAAAAGAGATGTGGGAAAAAAAAGGTTAGCGACACTGTTAGATGATTGCAGCTACCTATATGTTACGGTAACAGATGTGATTGTAATGCGTATTGTAGTAGGGAGAATCAAAACTGCTATACCCGAGTCTTTTTATTGTTGCACACAAAATTATGAAATCTTGATTACACAAGAAAATTTTCATCGGAATTCACTAGAAATTCTTATGGTGGGTAAGATCCTCGGATTGAATTCCGATCAAGTTAGTTCAATACGATTTTAAGTAACAAAATAGTAGAATTCTCCTCATCATTCAATAAGTTTTTTCAAAAATCTCCTTTGCAATTATCCTTCATGTTTCATTTGAATTCTGTACCGAAATACCTTTGAATATTCTTCAGAATTCGCATGATTTTAATGTTTATTTCCTAAAAATTCTCTTCGGAATTACCGCAGAATTTCATACAAGTATTCATGTCCCTTTGAACCTCCTCGGAATAGTTTTGAAACTCTCATCAGAATTTATTTAAAAAATTCCCCATAAGATTCCGTTTGAAATTATCCTCAAAATAAACATAGAATTCACCTCAGAATTCTGTTCAGAATCTTTTAATTCTCCTTAGAAATCATTTGATATAATAGTCAGAATTCCCTTTTAATTCATTTTGGAAGTCTGAATTCACCTGGAATTGTTCTCGCAAACTCATCAATATTTTGGATGAATCCCCTTGGAATTTTCTAAACATTCTCCAAAAATTATAGAATTTTAGGTGATGAATGCGTTTCGAGAACCGTCTACCAGAATTCGAAGAGCTAAACAGAAAGAGGGGTCAAATACTTCAGAACAAAACTAAATCTATTCAATGCTTGAGAAGTTGAAAATGGTCCCAAATGGACCGAAAAGTCGGAGAAATTGTTCAACCCGAAAAAGTCCAAGACCGGTTCGGGAATCGTACCCAGCCGCCACCAGCATGGTGCGCCTTTACCGACTGAGCTAAGGGAGCCCATTAGAATAGTGTCTTCGGGAAAGTTTTTTTCATTAAATTTAATCAATCTTTTGATGTTCAAGACATTAGTTCTTATGATGAGTTCTAAGTTCAACGAAGTTATAGAACAATTCATTTGAAGCCACTTTGCAGAAGAAAGCAATTTTATATTCATATCTCTAATGTTTTCGATTTTTACTTGTTTTTAATAAGTATCATAGGGTGACTCTAAAAGATTTTTTTTTAAGAATACATTTTATAAATTGATTTAACGTAAATGACTTATTTTAGATACATTTTGAGTCTTTTATGGTATACATTTTTGGTAAAGCATCCAACTTGCTATCCATTTTGTTGGAAAATTGAACGATAATTAAAAAAAAAAACTACGCCCTTTTAAGAAGTTAACAAAAATGGCCGTCGCTATTCTCTCACCGTATTGGAGGACGCATATCTTGAAGGTTATTAAGAACTGCTAGATGTTGTTTTACGAAAGCTGCGATGGATTTGGTGTAAAAATAATCCATTTATATACGACACTTTTCTCCTAAAAGAGCAAACATGAGTAAAAATTTTACGCATATTGTGAAAGTACATAATTCAACAGATCTATTCAAAATCTATGGAATCTTATTTTTCCCCATTGTCCAATTAGATGATAAACAATATTGATTGTTTTTTACATGAACATCATTTTCGTAAAACAACATCAAGCAATTCTCTACAAGCATCAAAATATGCGTCGTTAGAGCAAAAAACTAACTTTTTTTTTCAAATCCACCCACTATTTTTCCGGGAATCGAGAAATAATAATTCTGGTTTCCAGGTAAGAAAAAAACTAGATGGTGTGACTTCAAAACCAAGGAAGTTGGAATTTGGCCAAATGTTTTCAGAAAATCATGTTTATCTCATGAAAATTATCACAAAATCGGTAAGAGGTTTCTCATCTTGTTGCATTACATGTCTGAAATGAGGACACTCATCATTAATAATCATTATTAATAATAAAAGTGTACCGTGATTAGCAAAATTTTATTTACAAACATCCATAACGGAAGAGGGATATAAATCTCGTAGAGTATTTAACTTAACAACGTGAGAGTTAGGGTCAATTCTCTCCAGAAACTTCCGTTGTATCCCCTGATACTCCTGCAAAAAGACATTAACAGCTCAAGAGCAAATTTTCATTATGTCGAAAGTAACATTCGCACCAATCCGAGAAAAATAAAGTTTTGGTTTGATGACCGAAAAGTTATTCTTATTTCCACATCCCAAGTAACAATTTCGGTTTTATAAGGGTTCTGTAGACCATGATTTAGACTTGTAGCATGCTTTAAAACCTCCATAAAACTTGCAATGTTACTTGGGATATATTCTCATAGTGATAGCAATGTTTAACATATTAAGCAGGGTTTTAATCAAACAAAGCAGATCGGTAGCTATCATGCTCAAAAATACTGGTTTTTGAGTAAAAAGTTATTATACATCGTTTGGTGGCCCCTAATGTTACTTAAGTCAACAGAGATGAACCAGCCGATGGCTGAAAGATAATATAAGATACTTAAGTCACAGAGAACAGACATTCAATCTTAAACAAATTTTCGAAAAATTATGTGTAAAAATTCAAATTAAAATACGTTAGAAACACTAGCGCCGCCATACGGAATGTTGCGACTCGCGTTATCAGGGATTAATGAGTAAACTGAACTAAAATTTAGGTTGATCTTATTGACCGTGTATCAAAATGAACTGTCAAATCTGTTCAAAACAAACAAGACAAAACAACACAAACAATCCTGTTTTTGCGCAACCATTATTTTAAATTAAAAAAGTAAGCTCTTTTACAGTTTCCTGTGGATCTTCAACCATTTTTCGTTTCAATTTTAACTGGGCATAGTAGTCAGGAGCAAAACTGACTTTTCTTGATTCTGGCGGCGTATCTTCAAATGATTCAGGGAGGGTGTGAACTCCAATTAGCTCTCATTGAAATTCAGAAAAATGTGATAAGATTTGAACTCTGTATATGTTCTTCTAGAAATTCGAAAAGCCTCCGGCGGGAAGTGGTCGAAACATATTTTTTTCGTTACAAGCGCTTCGACTCCACGTGAGAAGAAAATCTCCAGTTGTTCCGGCAATTGTGAAAAGATTTTCGCACCTTGTTTAATTCCGCACCAATAAAACTCGCATTTGCGGCCCATGTTTTGATCGGTTTTAACAAACAATGTTAAGATGACGTCTGCCGGTCATCGACGTCCATAGGCAGCAGCACTAGCGCCACCACGATATTGCTAGTTTCAAATGTCTATTCAAAATAGCAGTTAAATTTCTTACACACTTTAGCAATTTGACTTGGATGTCTGTGCTTAAGTCAAAGTGTATTTACCAGGATATTCGCGAGAATTATCAATCACGTCTCCTTACGTGCAGCCCATTTATCATTTTAGGACCACCGAAATCATCTGAGCAACAAACAGTTCTATTTATTCACTTTAATAATGAGAAAGCGAACCGACGAACGTACACTTTTCACGGGATTTTCTGCGCTGTTACTTAAGACAAACGGCATCTAATAAAAATCGGGTGACTTAAGTAACATCGAAAAATATTTTGATCGGAAGGTGATTACGTCAAAAAGCAATTTGACAGGTAAATAAATTTAAAAATAGGATGTGATCCTATATTCGAACAGTATAGGGGAAACGCTCCTATAGTTGCGGTACGTTAGAAGCGTTAGGTTCCTATAGTTGTGTACGGAGTCTCCATACACAACTATAGGAACCTAACGCTTCTAACGTACCGCAACTATAGGAGCGTTTACCCTATAGTGTAATAGCAGGAGCATCGATTGACACTGATAGCTCGACTTTGTTTACCTTTGTTACTTTCAACGTATTGAAAATTTGCTCTTGAGATACGCGTTGAAAGGTGAACAGGAACGGGTATAGATTTCATCGTCTGGTGTTGTTGTGATGATCCATATTATGTACAAAAGAAACATTGTTGAATGCGGTCTTTTATGTAGATGTTTATACCACACGCAGAAAAATTTACCGTCGAAACAAAAATATTTTAGGTAAATTTAAACGTAAACTCAGTTTGTTCTGGCCACAAACATAAACTAGGTTGATTTCAAACGTATTCTACATTTGAATCCATTGATAATAATGTTTAAAACAAAAATAATGTTACGTTTATTTTAAAAATATTCGTGTTGAAAATAAACGTGAATATTTTTGATTTATTTGAAAACTATATGCAATCAAAAATTAATATTTTTATTTTAAACATGCTTTTCATGTTTAAAATAAACAAACATATTTTGAAATTATTTTATCATTTGAATACTGAAAAAATCAAAATAAAATGGATAGCAAATTAATGGAAATTCCTGTGATTATGGAAAGTCTGTGGATGTTTGGATACGGGAGGCCGTCGGGGTGGGTGCCCGATCCGATCCAGTTCAGTAAAACCGGTGAAACTTTGTGATATTAGCGTCATTTTGTCGTTTCTGACGCTGGTCCTCATACCGGCCTCTTTCTAAGTTTAGTGTTCGGGGATGATCTGTTTTTTATTCGACGTCGGGTAGGGGGTGAGGATGATATGGGGATCGGTATCAGAAACGACGGATTGACGTTAATATTGTGATGTTCCACCGGATTTGTCGAGCTTGGAACAATTGCTTGCGTGGGTTTCCGGACCCTCTATTTCGGTTTCGCCGCTTGCAGGCCGTTTTCGGTTAAGTTTGCCGAATGTAAAAAAAAGGAAAAAAGGACACGCTAAAAATTGACTACCCAGATTATGTATTGTTGAAATAAACATGCTTTTGAATTTATTTTAAACATACATATTTTTGTTCAAAACATGTTTGTAATTAACTTTGAACTATTCATATTTTTATTTAATAAACATATATATTTTTAACTTAAATGAACAAAATTTGGTTTCGTGCAGGTCAATATAGGTTAGTTATGGCTTCTGGTGAAGTTCACAGTTGATTATGTTCTGAAACTTATATGAAGTTTGT